AGTGAATTCAGTCTGTCTGGTTTCCAGAGGCTTTAGGGAGGCCTTGCCAATGCTATTCTTTCCTGCTGGATTTGTCTGCAGCTCTTCAAAGTTATTAGTGGAAATAATTTCCTCTCTGAAGAAGCAGCCGCCTCTGTCCTGCTGGTCTGTCTCTGCTGTGGATTGCTCCCTCACACATCACATCTCCCCTGAGTCCCGGGGGGCAGCTGTGCCTGCAGGGTGTTGTTCAGCCCTTTACCCAATTATCCAGGCACAGAATACCCATCCCAAGCTAATCAGGAAGGACAATCTTCTCTGGGTGAAAACACTCTCTGAGGACTCACCTCTGCCGTGGCGCCTTCAGGGAATGAAACCACTAATTATAGGAGAGGAGTATTTGCATTATATACATGATGTTAAGAGCAGCATTATCTACACGATGTTAAAAGCAGAAAGGGAGATCCTGTGGCTGAGAGCCCATCCCATGGCTTTGCTGTGCTCTTTCTGTGTGGGACTCTCCTCTTTGAAAATCCTAATCTAAACACGAGTGTGCAGAACTTTATCGAGTGTAAGAATAAATAATTTCTATCTGCAAGGAATAATTCCTGTCTGTAAGGAATAGGTAATTCATCTCTGTACCCCACTACAAATCCTCAGCCTGCAGGCACCAGGACAGAGTAAAATGATGCTTTGAGCTGTATCACCTCTATGATTTCTTGTCCTCCATCTCCATGGAGGGGTGGCTGGCAGTGCATGGCCCTGCTGACTTCAGCTCTCCAGAAGTTCCAGAGCTGCCTCACAGCACTTAACTGTGCATAAACATAACATAAACAGAACGTAACATAAACTGTGCAGCCCAAGGAAGATGGTGCCTGTTTTCTGAAGGACAGGGTAAAATCCCCCCACGTATGTCCTCTATCTATTGCCTCTCTGGGCAGGGAAAACAGAAATGCCTTTCCCACCATTTTATTTATTGGTTTTCCTCTGTTTCCTGGGAAAATCCCTTTTTTTAGTACTTTTGTGTGTGTGTGTGAGCCTGTGTGGGGTAGGCGTGTGTGTGTGTGTTTAGGAGGTTAAAAAAAATTTCTTGCTGTCAGCAAGTGATGTTACAAACCTGCTCTGACAAGGCTGGTTGTATATTTACAGTTGGTGAGAGCGAAGGCTTCATCAATCTTCACGCTTTGAAAGGGACAGACCCGCTCCCATGAGCACCTGCTCCGGGAGAACAGCTGAACTGTGACTTTCCAGGGAGCTGGCTGTAAATTTTAGCCATTCCCCCCACAGCCCACGCATGCTTGAGCTCTTTAACCTTCCCAGGCTGGCAGGAGTCCCAGCAATCAGTTTAGTGCAAAGACTGGGGTTCTTTTTAATTAACCTTTTGTTTCCCACTGCAGGTGTTTCAAAGTTTTCTTCATGTTAAGAAGGAAGAGGGGAGGAAAAAAAATATTGTTTGCAGAGGTGCATCCAGTTTTTCCATGCTTGGTGATCAAAGTGGATCAGCCTTTCTCAAGTTTCCCCTCTTGGATGTGTGTCTGTGCCAGCATCCGCTGGGAATTGGCATCAAGGCTTCCCTTTGGGCACCTGCAGAAAGCATTCCTGGGAGTGCACTGCCAGAAGAAAAGGGAAGTATTGCCCTGTTTGATCAATAGAATTATTAGTAGGACAAGGACCTGTTGTATCACTAAGAAAATTCATGTGTGGGAATTTATCACAAGGGAAAAAAATGCATTCAAGCCCCACTTAAAACAATAAAACATATCTTTGAGGGAAAGTTTCAGACTTTCCTGTATAAAGGAATAATGGTTTCTATAATTTAATAGGTGGTAAATTTGGTGAGGAGTGCCAGCAAATCCATTTCACATAATGATATTTTATCTCCCTGGGTATGGTCATTTTCATGAATGTCTTTTTATTGGTTCCCTTGTCCCACAAAGTGTCCAAGGTGGTGCTGCTCATCCTCAAACGCCGAGCACATACAGAGGCAGGGATGGCTGGAGAAAACTATTAATAATGGTGACACAAAAAATGGGCAGGAACTGTGTGACAGTTAAATGTGCTCCCTATAAATAAAGAACATTTCTATTTGACCCTCAGGGCTGTGGCTTTTCAGCACTTACTTTTGTAGGAGTTAAGGTGGTCACAGCTATTAAAAACTAGAGATAAGCTGCAAGGAAATTCAGGTGAGGATAACAGGGAAAAAAAAAAAAGAGAGACAGGGTTTCCAAAGAAGATTTCACTGAAAGTTGCAGCTAGAAAAAAAAAACTTGATATAGTCCTTGGTGAGGGATTTTGTTTACTTAGGCCAGGGCAATTTGCTTCTCAGGAAAAGCAGTGATTTATTCTCTTGGTATCTAATTGCAAATTCACAGAGGCAAACCTTTTCCTCATGCAGCTCTGCTGAGATGGACGAGAACATTAGTTACAAAGGTTCACAGATTTTTAGAACCCTCACACTGTACATCAAATATAAACTAAAATTCACAGTTATGGTTTCATTCTGGCTGGTACTTTATGCTGACTAGAGGTAACAACCACAATCTGTGACTGCTACCACACAAAATAAACTGAGTTTCAGGAAAAGGAACTGAGAAATTTTTCTTGAGGGAAAAAAAAAGCAGCAAGTTGGAAGAAAATCAGAATAAAATGGAAGAAAAGAGAAAATATACAAGAGTAGGTTTCCAAGAGGCAATATATGGTATTATATATGTGATATATGCACTTGGTATAAAATGCCCAGAGAAGCTGTGGCTGGCCCTGGTTGAACGGGGCTTGGAGCAACCTGGGATAGTGGAAGGTGTCCCTGCCATGGCAGGGGTGGGATGGGATGGGCTTTAATGTCCCTCCCAACCCAAACCATTCTGTGAATCTGTGTTTCACAGTCAGCACAAGGTCTTTGCTGCCTTCACTCTCATGTGCCATACATGTGTGGAACAAAAACTGTCTGAATTTTGTCTTTGACTTCTCCCACCTTGCATGGCTGGTTGCCTGCCTGGGAGATCTGCAGGCCTGCCTGCCAGGAGGAACAAGGGTGTGCCAACATGTGGTCCTGGAACCGCAAATTCAGAATGAAGCAAGGAGCAAAAGAAGTGACAAGATGAGCCGCCATGGGAAATGAAGGGAAAACTGTGAAAATGGTTATAATAAATAATAAGAAATGTAGCACGGGCCAAAGGAATAATAGATCAGCAGTGGGAAGATTCTAAAAGCTGCTGAGAGTTATTGATAGACATTGTGTAAGGAAAAGAGCATAAAAAAAGAAACCCCTGACAGTTTTGCCTTCATGATCACAAAGGCGGGTGGCAGGGCAGATGGCAAAGTGAAAGATAAATATCCTTTTGCATAAAGAAGAAATATTGAAGGAAACTGGGCAGAGGTGACGGGGAAATTAAGAGTGTTAAAAGACCCTGAAAGCATGTGGTCCATGTCAAACCTCCTTCAGGATTTTGAGCCAAGTCAGCAAAACGTATGAAAAATCTGTTGAGGGAAATGAGAACCTCTTTGAAGACCAGTAATGGAGAAATCCTACAAATGTCAAGCCCAAGGAAGCTTTCCAGAAAGGAAAGGTGCTGGTTCAGAAGAAGGTGCCTTGCATGGCCAGGAGGTCAAAGTGTGTTTTAATCTGGGGTTGTGCTGGAAAAATAGTTAAGAGAAGTTATGAGTTTAATTAAAGAAAACCATCAAGGATTTAAAAAAATTGGGATCTGTGCCAATAAATGGAGAACAAAACTGACAGCAGCTTTCTGAGGAATTAATGCAAATCACAGGCCAGGGAAAAGCCAAAAGATATAACTTCTGCTGTGGCAGGAAAGGTTGGATATAACACAGTGGGAAAATGTAATCTGGAGTAAGTGATGAGTGAGGGACATGGAAGTGGCTGATGGGCTCTTGCCACCGAGTTACTTGTGAGGATGCACTGGCTTGTGATTAGAGAAAATGTGATGCCAGAGAACTTCAGGATAAAGTGATTATTGAGGTGAATTTAACTGAGGGAAGCACAGGGACAAGAGGAAGGGAACAAACCCAACCAGGGTTTGAGGGCACCTGGATTGGGTGGGGAAGCAGGGAGGAAAAATTCAACCCAAACATCACTTGGCCAAGTGTCTGTGTTTCTGCAACAAGATTCCATGAGAGATTTCACACACACACACACACACACACACACACACACACACACACAAAACTCTTAACAAAATAAAGTCTAAGCATTGTCAGAGTAGGTAAGTGCACATTGAAGAGCCACCACCAGATGTGACGTGTTGGATTTTCCAGTGTGGAGAGGAGGGCAGGAACATGGCAGTGAAGTGGAAAGGCTTGAGTTCGTGGGGAAGGTGGAAAAGTGGAAGGTCTGTGGTGAGGGTGGGAAGTAGATGGGTCTATGGGGAAGGTGGGAAAGTGAAGAGCCTGCGGGAAAGGGACAGGTCTGTGGGTAAGTGAAGCATCTGTGGGGAAGGCGGAAAGATGTAGGGTCTCCAGGAAAAGTGAAAGGTCTGTGGGGAAAGCAGGAATGTGGAGAAGGAGGGGAAGTGGAGAGTCTGTGAGAAAGGTGGGAAGGGGTCAGGCATGTGTGGAAGAAGGAGGGTCCGTGGGGATAGCAGGAAAGTGGGAAGGTGGAGGATCGGTGGGGATGGTGGGAAGGCAGGAGAATGGCGGCTCTGTGGGGATGGCAGGAAGGTGGAAGGAGGAGGGTTTGTGGGGAAGGTGGGAAGGCGGGGGGTCTGTGGGAATGGCGGGAAAGCGAAGGGTCTGTGGGGAAGGTGGAGGGTCTGTGGGGAAAGTGGGAAGGTGGAGGATCTGTGGGGAAGGTGGGAAGGTGGAGGGTCTGTGGGGAAAGTGGGAAGGTGGAGGATCTGTG